AAAATGCCAGACATGATTCTATTTCATCTGAAATACTTCAATGTAAAACTCTAAAAATTAGAATGCTTCATTATCACAAACACATACACAAAAACTCTATAATTCTTTCATATACTTGGATGACCAACATATATTGGATATTGTATCCAACCAACAGACAACAGAACTTCCTTTCAAATGGCCGTGAGATATTTATGAAAATTTACCACATTCTAGGCAATAAAGAAAGCCACAACAAATTCCAAAAGGCTGAAATTACATTCTCTAACTGCAACTCAATAAAATTAAGCAAAAAATAGCTTTATATGCTTTCATTATTCAAGAAAAAATAATGACTATAAATGCCCTAGTCAAAAACTCTATTAGTTAAAAAAACCAAAGGAAAGGAAATAATATAAACATAGGCAAAAAAATAAATGAATTAGAAAACAGAAAAACAATAGAATTGATACAATCTGAGATCTAGTTCTTTGGAAAAAATTCAATGAGTGACCATCTCTGATAAATCTAATTAAGAAAGAAGAAAAAACCCACAAAATCAAAGGATGGAAAAAAGGGTAATAGCTACTGATACTGACATATAATGACATGAGCATAATCTACTGATATGTACTAATAACATTCTGATGAACAAATAAATTTTGAATAAAATAAACTATTAAGACAACTCAGAGATGGAGAGATGAATAGGAAGTGATAAAGCAGGTATAGTAAAAGGTTGATGGTAGAATCTTGAGGGTGGAGGTGCCAGACACACCCTAAGATGACTCCCACCGAGTCAAGCTCTTATATAACTCCCACCCCTTGAGGCAGGCAGAATCAGTGACTGGCTTCTAACCAACCAACAGACTCTGCATAGGCGACAGGATGTCAATCCCACGACCATGTTATGTTAGATAAGACTCCGTCTTGGCTGACTATAGAGAGAGAGAGACTCTCCCTTGCTGGCTTTGAAGAATTACGCTGCCATATTGTGAGAGGGCCACAGAACAAGTTATTGGGGGTGGCCTCTAGGAGCTGACAGGAAGAAAACAGGACCTCACTCCTATAACCATAAGGAGATGAACTCTGCCAACAACCACATCAGCTTGGATGACCCTGAGCCTCAGATAAGACCAAAGCCCCGGCCAACATCTTGACTGTAGCCTGATAAGACCATGTGCAGAGAACCCAGCCAAGCCTTGCCAGACTCTGGAACCACAGAAGCTGTGAGATAATAATGTGTGTTGTTTGAAACCACTAAGTTTGTGGTAATTTGTTATGTAGCAATAGAAAGTTAATATAGTGGGCATACAGGTATTCCTATAAAAATCATTCAACTCTGCTATCTGTTTGAAACGTTTTTGGGGGGAGAAGGAAATTATAACTTTTATGAAGGTAAAATTTACATACAATAAAATTTACCAATGTTAAGTACAATTCAATGAGTTTTCACATAGGTATAAAGTTATATAACCACCACAATCATGATATAAAATATTTCCATCATCCAAAAAGTTGCCTTCTCCCCTTTGCAATTGAGCAACTCTCTGACTTTTACCCATTATTTCTGCAAATATTTCTTTTTTGTTTTCTCCACCCATCTTTTTCTAGGACTCCAATAACACATACATTAGGTTGCCTTCTATTGTCTCACACATCACTGATGCTCTGTTCCTTTGAAACTTTTCACAGTAAAATATCGGGGGACAAAAAAGATAACACAAGAATATGTTTAAAAAACAGACCAAAGAATACATTTTAATTGTCATCAAAGAATTAACTCAAAGACTACAAAGCCCCAGGCCAGAGAGCTTTGCTGAAGGAAGAGTGAATCCCAAAGGCTCAGAAGAGACTGAAAATCCAAACTCATTTTATAATATCAGCCCATTAAATTAAGAACCAAACAAGGAAATCCAGTTTGCCCATCAATCCATTGGGAGCTGACAGACCACCCCTAGGACACAGACAAAAGTACCCTAGGAAACTCCTGGTCTCCAGACCAGCTAATTCTCCCCACTGGCTAACTCCTATTTGAAACTAATCCTTCCTCTCACTCTTAAGTGAAACCTCCATGAGGTTCTGAAGAAAAAGATACTAGACATAATTCTCTGTGGCCACCTGCACCCCTCTCCCCTCCTGATACCCTGGAATCTGGGCCTCTGCCACCTGTCAGGGCCTCCTGTACTCTCACTCCCTGTACGCTCACTCTCTCCTTTTCACCCTTCCTAGTCTCCCTCAATTCTGAGCACCCTCCAAAATTTGCAACTATGTGAGGTGATGGATATTAACTAAACTTATTGTGGTCATCATTTCACAATATATACATATATCAAATCATCATGTTGTACACCTAAAACTAATACAATGTTATAATCCCTCCCACTCACTTCCCCACCCACTCCCATTGGGCACCAGCCCCACCAGGCTCATGCCAAGAACCCCACTGATCTTGCTATTACATCCTAATGATCAGTTTGGAGCCTGGTCTCACTCCCCCTCCCTGTAGTATCTCACCCCACCGACTACAGCCTCCTTCTCTCTACTTTGACTTCCATGACCCCCATCTGCCTTGCTTCCCTTCCACTTCATTGGACACCCATCCATAGCCTCCTCCATAGCCCCTTAAATGCTGGGGCTCCCCAGGGCTTTGTCCTGGTCCCACTTCTCTTCCCTCAGCCATCTCAACCATTCCACAGTCTCAAGTACCACGTCTGTGGGAGGGATGCCCAAGCCCTCACCTCTCCTCGGAGACAGAGTACCTCCTGGGTATCTGCTCTTGAACATCTCCCATGAACTTCCTCCTTTCATTCAGTACATCTTTATTGAGCACCTACCATGTGGTGAACAAAGTAGACATAGTTCTTGCCCTCACATGAGCTCATCACCTTCCTTGACCCAGAACCCTTCCCAGTGGCTGGAAACCTGGAGTCATCCTGGATGATTCTCTCCTTTTTACCCCCACAGCCAGTTATCCTCTGATTCTATCACTTCGCCAGGATCTCGGTCCCCAGCACCTGGCCCAGTTCCTAGCACAGGGGACGCTCACATAAATATGGGATGAGGGAAAAAACATCCTTCAAATCCATCCACTCCTCTCTCTCTCACTGCTGCCACCCAAGTCACAGATGTCATCACCTTACCAGGCCACTGCAGGCACTTCTAACTAGTCTCTCTTCTCCAGATTGGTCCCCCAAGCCCCTCCCCACCTCATCGCAACAAAACCATTCTCTACATCAGTTGGGGTGATCTTTCTAAGATTCAAATCTGATCTCATTAGTAACTTTCACTTCAGGCTACAGAGGACTAGCTTGTTTAAGACCAACCCTCCAGTGACAGCAATTAGAAAAGTCAGACAGGGCCGGCCTTGGGGCTTAGCGGTTAAGTGTGCGCGCTCCACTAGTGGCGGCCCAGGTTCGGATCCCGGGCGTGCACAAACGCATCGCTTCTCCAGCCATGCTGAGGCCGAGTCCCACATACAGCAACTAGAAGGATGTGCAACTATGACATACAACTATCTACTGGGGCTTTGCGGAAAAAAAGGAGGAGGATTGGCAATAGATGTTAGCTCAGAGCCAGTCTTCCTCAGCAAAAAGAGGAGGATTAGCACGGATACTAGCTCAGGGCTGATCTTCCTCACACACAAAAAAAGAAAAATCAGACAGAAAAAAATTTTAAATCTGTTTGATATCATCATAGAGCTACAAGGCAGAGAGGACTTGAAGGGCCAAGACCTTGGAGTGACAGGAAGCCCAAAGAGGTGAACCTGATACATAGCATCATTTTTCCCTTTGAGGTTTTGCTGCTTCGAAAGTGGCAGTTAAAAGGATAAGAAGCCAGGGGGCAGGGGTAATGGGTGAGGGTGGTCAAAGACACAAACTTTTAGCTATAAGATAAATAAGTTCTAGAGACATAATGTACAGCATTACCTTGTTAACTGAAGTTATCAACACTGTATCATATATTTGAAAGTTGCTGAGAGTATGATCTTAAAAGTTCTCATCACAAGAAAAAAAAATTTGTAACTCTGTGAGGTGATGCATGTTAACTAAACTTGTTGTGGTGACCATTTTACAATATACACATATATCAAATCCTCATGTTGCACATCTAAAACTGATACAAAGTTACATGTCAATCATATCTCAATAAAACTGGGGGGAAGAAAACGATGAGAAGCCAAGTAGGAAGTAGGGACAGAGTGGGCAGAAGCTTGGCAGAGCTGTCAGCAATCTTAGGCTGAGGAGACAAAAAATAGAATCTTGGGGCCCACAAGGTTTTCCATAAGAACCTTTTAAAGCTATACTCTAGAAGCAGAAGGAACTGTAAATTTAGTAGCCGCCATAAGGATCAAAATGCAGCTTTGAAATAGCTCTATCCCTGATGAAACTAAGGTAAGCTGCTCCACCTGCCTGCTAGAAGCAAAAGTTAATCCTCTGGAGAAAGATAACATTAACCAGAACCTCAAATTATCTCCACAATTGTTCACACAAAATGTCCAGATTCAGTCAAAAATTACCAGGTATGCATCATATCCAGGATGCATGAAGAACTCTTAAAATCAATAAGAAAAAGACAGACAATCCAATAGGGGAAATAAAAAAAAAGAGCAAAAGACCTCACAAAAGATATCCAAATGGCCAATAAACATAGTAAAAAACTGCCATAATTAAAAACAGGGGGATACTGGTGCATGAACAGATACATAAATCTTATGTAAGAACTTAATATAAAAGTAGGTAAAATAAATCAACAGGAAAAGGACAGATGGATAGTTACAGGTAAATAAGTTAACTGGGGAAAGATCAGATTTAAGGCTGATGTCAGAACATCAAAATAAACTCTGGTTTGTCTAAATAGTTAAATGCAAAAGAAGGGAAGGAAGGGAGCGAGGGATGATCAAAACCCCAAAACACGAAGAAAAGTTAAGGAGAAGCTCTCCTGACCCTCAACCTTGTCACCCTGGCTGAGCGCAGCTGTGCCCAGGAGACCTGAGCAGGGAGGGAAGAGATGGTGATTACCGCATCGATCTCGTTGAGGACCTTCCACTGCTCGTAAGGCACACCCAGTGCCTCGGCCGTCTGGATTGTCCTCTTCATCTGGCTTGTCCAGACCTTCAGGTCCTTGATGTTCTGATCACTGATGAACCGGGCCAGACTCTTGGCAAACTGAAACACATCACAAGCAAATTCACACCAACAGGTCCTGGGCTGCCCTCAAAGGACCCCACAGCCACAGAGTCCATGAGGTCATACTCAGCCGCAGAGAACAAAGGTTTGGTAAAAAATCCCAACTAATGTCTCAGTGACACCCACACCCACCAGTGCTGTTCTTGTGCCTCCTTCCCAGACCCTGAGTGAAGTTCCAGTCATGGCTCATTAGGTCCCTTGCCACCGCCCCCCACCCCCACCATGCACCCTAGACCGTATGACCTCCCCACTGCGGCACAGCCATCCACTGCACTATAGGGACTCAGGTCACCCCCAGAGAGGCATGCTTCTCCAAGGAAAGGGGCTCAGCTGGTGACAGCTCACAGAGAAGCCAGAGATCCAGGCATGTGCTTGGTGCTTGGTGACCTTCCCTACATGATAGGAACATTCTAGACTGAATGAAGGTCATCCACCTCGATTGCACAGTAGTTATGAGAACTGGAGCCCAGCCCCAGCACACATACCACATACCCACACCCAGCCACCCAGAGGTACCAATGCACAGCTACACACACACATACTGACCTCCCTGCCCCGGGGGGATAGGCCTGGGTCCCCACCGATCCGGCCCTTGAGGTTGAGCTCGCTCTCCCCATGCCGGCAGAGGTAGATGGAGCGGGGGGTCACATGAATGTTCATGAGGTAATAAACGATGCGGCTCTGGATGTGGTCAGCCACACGGTTCACCACGTAGCTCTGCCCCACGTCCATGATCTTGATGTAGGACAGATCCCTTTCCAGAGAGAAGGTAGAGAGAGGCCTATGAGTGTGACAAGGGCCCTTGAGGGCACATCATGCCAGCCACAGGAACGGGCTGCATAGCTTCACATCTTTGACCACCAGGCTTGACATCACAACACACAGGACCGTCAGCCGGTGTACGAGTGATGGGGGTGAGGTGGGAGCAACACAACATGCGTGACATACAGACGAACCCTGTGAGAGGTGCTTAACACGCATCATGCTGCCAAGAGGTGACACCCAAAGCGAGGGGTCAGTCATACCACACTGTGACTTTTACCGTTGCTCTGTGTGTCCCCCGGGGCCCCATCTGGCCTACCTCTGAGCTCTCAACGCACTGTCTGTAAGGTGAACCAAGAGACAGTTTTTTCCAAGATTGACCTGGGAGTAGCTGGCAAACGCTCCTCCCCTCCACTCTTCCTGGTCAGCCATCCATGGGCCTGGCCTTTCCTTCTCCCAGTGAGCCTCCCCCTAGAACCCAGCCCAGGTCATCCGAGTAGCAGCCACACCCCACACTAGGCAGCAAGTGGATGAGACAAGAAGCACAGGAGGATGCTGCTGGTGGCAGCAGCCAATAAACCCAGCGCAGCCACTTCTACTGTGGACCTGTGCAATGTTGCGGCTTGGAGAACACACTTCTGTTTACGTTAGTGGGGGTGGGGGTGGGCAGCAGGAGGAAAGGGCAGGGTTTCTCAGGTATCCTGCTCTGGTTCAGCCCGGGAGCCCTCTGGATGTTCTCATTTGAGTTTTCACTGTCTGGACCATGGGATCTCAGTTGAGGTTTAAGGTTGTTCTACTGACACCACCAATAAAAACAGGAGCAACATTTACTGACAAATCCAACAGGAGCTGCTCCAGATTAAGCCCCTCTACTGCAGTCACATCACAGAACCATGAGGAGGAACGCTGTGCTGGGGGAACCAAAGGAAACACTGAACACCACAGAGAGGCCCAGGCAGCAAGCACAGCTTAGCTCCCACCACCTGGGCTGGCTCTTCTGGCTGAGATTTACAGCCAGTCCAGGGGCTGTCCTGTAAACATCCCCAGAAACCATCCCTCCAACACTCGCTTGTTTTCCTTGTTTGTACGCATTATACGTTCTCATGTAATTATAATGACCCAAGCACAGGTTTATATTCCAGCATTTTCACTTAATGCTACATAACATACACTTTCCCACGTCTCTCCAGTATGATTTATAATGACTGTGTAATACTTTACCAAGGGGTCACACTGTTATTTACTTAACCACTGCCCCCACTTATGCCGTAAGACAGGATTTGGCAAACTATGGCCAGCAAATCAAATTTAGCCCACAGTCTGTCACTGTAAATAAAGATTTATTGGAACACAGTCATGCCCATTTATTTACATATTGTCTATGTTTCATTTGCACTACACTGGCAGAGTTAAGTAGTTGCTACAAAGAATGCACACCCCCAAAGCCTAAAATATTTACTACCTGACCCTTTACAGAAAAAGTCTGCTGACCACTGCTGTAAGAGCCTCAGCTAAATGCCCTTATGGGCCTAAAGACCCCTCCCCACCCAACACACACTCCCGCTGGATCTTCCATTCCAGAGGGGGGTACGGGGAGCTCACGCACACTAGCCACTGCCAGCTATTCATAGGCAGGGTCTGAGTAGCCGTTCCCCCTTCTCAAAACACAGACTATGCACTTAAAGAAGAGCATGTCATATTTGCAAATGCCTGGTGGGAAGACTCTCTGCATGGAGATGGGGCTTGCTTTTACGATGGAATAGAAAATTCTGACTCGTAGAGCTCCAGTAAGGCAACAGGGGTTCTGTGAGTTACCTCCGGCCCACAAGTTCTGCCCAAAGGAAAAAAACAAGAAAGGCCAAATCATCTCCTCCTGTTGGGGTAGCCCCTCAGCCACATGGAGGCAGCCGAATGGGGCATCCACCACCCACCCATCACAACTGCAGGACACGGTGCTCTCCTTGCTCACCTGTCCAACTCCTCGTCCAGCGACTCGTATGAATTCTCATAGCACTCAATGCGCCTCATGAAATCCTCTGTGGCCTCATCACTATCGCAGTTGACATAGTCAGGGCTGCCCAGTTTCACTTGCTGCCAGAGCCAGGCACAGAGCAAGGGCACATCAGGGCTGGAGGCCAGACAGGGCCGGAGACCAAAGAGAATACTGGGCAGGGGCGGGGGGAGGCTGGACCGGAGACCAGGCCAAGGCTGGGGGCGCGAGGCTGGAGGCCAACCCCAGGGGGCTGGTCCCAAAAAGAAGAGTCTAGAGGCTCCCTGGTCCAAGTTCCCACACTAGCACTAAGAGAGTACTACCGGGCATCCTGAGATTAGAGTCCTTCACCTTTGTAGCACAGTGGGAGGTGAGGCCGGAGGGGCAGGGGACCTGGAAGGCCCTCCCCACCTGAACTATCTCCTCAAACCCAGATGGAGGCGAGGCCCGAGGGGCAGGGGACCTGGAAGGCCCTCCCCACCTGAACTATCTCCCCAAACTCAGATATTCATTCCTTGGATAAACGGCAGGGGTGGGGGGAGACGACACGGGACAGGGAGGGGACAGGGACAGGGAGAACAGGTCTCCTCTTTCAAAATGCAAATATCACCCCCCACCCCACCCCCAACCCTGCCCTGGGGCCTGAAGCTCCTCTTTCATTGTCCAGGGGATTGTGAAGGGGAAGGGGAGGGAGAGGGAAGGTAGGAGGAGGAGAATGAATGAATGAATGAATGAATGCCCTCCACCCAAGTGCTCCTCAGGGGTCCAGGCTCCCCTGATCCAGTGTTCTATTGCCTTCCCAACCCCCAAGGTTCAAGAAGACCAAATTAAGGCTGGCCTAGGCACCAGCCCAAACCTGGAGAGGGACCTCACTGTCACATGCCACCTCAGTTGTATTACTGCCTCCACAGGTCAGATGCACCACTCACCACAATGTTGGCGGCTATGACTTCAGGATCCACACATATGGACTCAACAAAAAAGGTCTGCAGCAAGGACCAGGCGGGAGGAGGGAAGGAACCATAGACACATTTAGCGCTCTGGGCCTGGCTCCACAGACCTCCCTACCCCACTGAGGGCCATGCTGAGCAGCCAGGCCCCTGAGGCCCTTCTGGTGTTGGGGCAGGGTCGAGGAGCACAGAACCAAAGCAGGTGCCACCCTATCCAGGACTCTCCCACCAAGATCCCCACCTCCCAGTAAAGAAAATCTCAGGCAAAGAGAAAAGAGCAGCCCCTCTAATCACAAATCCACTAGGGAGCCCACCCACCCAAAGCCCTGCACACATCAGGAGGCTGCGAAAGGGGCCCCAGAGGGCCTGAATGTGCCACAGGCCAAGCAAGGAGGTGAGCCAACAAGGCCTCACCTTGTAGCCGTTCTGTTCTCCAAAATTAAAGATGGTCGCTCTCCGTTCTCGGGTGGTATTTGTTGCGTCAAAAACCTAGGACCAAACTGGAGTTAACTCGGCCTCCGGCCCTGGAGGAAGTAGGAGGCCAGCTGACAGCTGCAGTACAGGGATTGGATTCTCACCAGCAGCTGCTGCCCGGGCCACCCACCTGGCCAGCTCCTTCAGATCTGCAAGGGCTAGGCTGGTCCTCCCCTTGCTCGGGGAGCACACTGGAAGGTAGCTGGAAGGAGAGGGTGCCTGTGCTCCTGGCAGGGTAGCAAACCCTTGGCAGGAGGAATACACTCAGCACTGCTCTGCACACAGCAGGCACTGAGTTCATCGTTAACCAACAGGACTTCCAGTGAAACCCGTTAAACCTGGAGAACTGAACCCACGTTTATGTCTACTCTATCTGGAGATCCCAGTAAAATGGGAACAGAAGGATAAAGAGAATAGGAGAGGAGATGGGAGACGTCAACAAAATTTTGTAAGACAGACACGTGGCGACTCAGAGAAATGGAGACAACCAAACACAAACCCTCACTGACCAGAGCACACCCACTTGTGCAGAACCGGGACAGTCAGGAACGGGGCTCGGGCATCTCTGAAACAAGGGACAAGAGTGCAGAGGAAACGGGAGGACAGGCTGGCGGTGCAACGAAGAGCAGGGGGAGCCAGGCCCTTGCCCCCGCCTCATCCAGCCATGTACTGATCCACCCGGGGTCCTCATGAAGTGCCTGGGGCCTGCCCGAGCACCCGCAGGTGCAGCCCACTCATCAGCACATCCATGCAGCTTTCAGAACATCACTTTTTAAAAAGGGCATTCAACCAGGGCTCACCGGACGCCCCAGCAAAACCTCTAACATGGAAAATGGAGACTAAATCAAACAGAAGAAAAGGAACTTCAAGAAAATGAAGAAAGGGCACAGAACAGAAGGAAACGTCAAAACACTTAGAATTATTATCTAAAGATAGATACAAAATGCTATAGTAACTATGAAACAAGAGTTCTAAAAAACTGAACACTCAAGAGAATAAGAAATTTAAAACTTGGAAATTAAAAATGTGATCACAGAAATTTAAAAAAAATTCAACCAAATACTTGTAAGCTAATGTTGAGGAAGTCCCCCTGAAAGTAGAACAAAAAAGACAGAGAGAGAAAACAAGGGGAGGGGCTGGCCCAGTGGCATAGTGATTAAGTTCGTGCGTTCTGCTTTGGCAGCCCAGGGTTCACAGGTTCGAATCCCAGGTGTGGACCAATGCATCACTCATTAAGCCATACTGTGGTGGTGTCCCACATACAAAGATAGAGGAAGATGGGCACAGATGTTAGCTCAGAGCCAATCTTCCTCAGCAAAAAGAGGAAGATTGGCAACAGATGTTAGCTCAGGGCCAATCTCACTCACCAAAAAAATTAAAAAATAAATAAAAATTAAAAACAAAAAAAAAAAAGAAAAGAAGGGGAAACAAAAGATAAAATTAGGGATCAAGACAAGCATGCAGCCACCAGGAATTCTAGAAAAAGAAGCTCAGAAAATGGGAGTGGAGTGGGAGAATCAATTGTCAGAAAGTGGCAGAGGTGGTTTATCAAAATAATAATATATGACAACTTCCCTGACCTGCTGGAGAAGAGTTTCTTGATGGGAAGGGCCTCCCAGGACCCGGCATGGTGGAGAAGAGAAGACCTACCACAAAGCACAGCACCTTGAAGACCCCAGAGGAAGGGGCATGAGAAGCCCCGGCTCCCTCCGAGAAATGAAACTTTTAGGAAGATCAGCAAATCGGAATGACTTCAGATTTCTCCACAGCCACGCTAGAAGCCATAATATAATGGAGCAACGTGGTGGAAATTCTAAGGAAAAAGTACTTTCCATCTAGAATTCTATACCCAACCATCAAATGTGAGGATAAAAAAAGTCATTTCCAGACATGCAAGGTGTCACACAATTTACTTCCCAAGCACCTTTCTCAGGAAGCTACTAGAGGATGTGCTCCAACAAAACAAGTCCGTAAACCAAGAAAAAAGAAGACATGGGATCCAAGAGCAGGGCATTCAACTCAGGAGGAAGGAGACAGGAATTTCCAGGGTGACGACTGAGTCACAGACCTAGAGGGCAACTGAGCCAGATGGAGCTGGAGGATGAAGAGCTCCAGCAGGCATGACTCCAAGAGGAAAAAGGAAGGAAAAACAGCTCCCATGTTTGACTGCATAAGGGTGAGGTAGGGCCCTTTCCCACAGACACCCTTGCTCAACTTTGCTGTCCCATCCATTCATCTGACTACAGGGGCCAGTGCACACGTGGAATTCCCTTACCCAGGATTCAACTGGCTCCTGGAACAGCCACCAAATGCTGGGCAGAATTCTCCCTACACCAGGAAAAATCACCTTTGCTAAAGACTTAGGTAACATGATGCCTCTAACTTGCGGGGTGGCCAAGAATGTGAGCATTCAGAGGGAAGTCCTACAGGGTCAAATGCAACCACAAGCCTGGCCCATATTCAGCCTCTGGCTTCTTCCTCCCAGGGGCTGTCCCCAGGGGCATCCAGGGTCACACACACCCTGGCTTCCTCTCTAGATGCTTGATGAAAGGAGTAGATGTGTGTGGGCTCCCAGGTGTCACTCCCAGATGTCACCAGGGTGTCACACTCACCGCCACATGTCCCCCTTCGTCACTAAGAAACCGCCGGACATCATGGAGGGCTGCCAGGGCACACTGCCTTTAGGAGAGAAACACATGGTCAGCCCAGCACCGGCCCTGACTGCAGGAGCGCTGTGGTCAGGGACACAGCCTACCCCAGACTGGAGAGGGGACGGCCCTGGGGTCCCTTCTCTCTTTTCAAGATTTCTCTTCTCTTTCCTTGGGACAATTTTCAATGTTTTGCGAACTCTGCTCCTGTAGGTAGAAGGCTATGTGGAAATCCTAACCATTGGATTATTCTTATAAATACCACTTATCTGTACTTCCCCTTCTTATCTCATTGTGTACGGATCCAAAGTGCCATTTTGCCATATTCATGACTTGTAATTGTCATGCACTTTCCCTGATTATCAAAATAAGCACTTTTTTTGTCTGTGTGTATGAGGAAAATTAGCCCTGAGCTAACATCCGTTGCCACAGCATGGCTTGATAAGGGGTGCGTCGGTCCACATGCGGGATCCGAACCCGCAAACCCCGGGCTGCCAAAGCAGAGCACGTGACCTTAACCACTATGCGACCAAGCTGGCCCCCAAAATAAGCACTTTTAAAACCAGACATTTCCTTGTGTATGAGTGTCGGGGGCTGGTGGTGGGGAGAGGACAGATACTGTTGCCAACCCCCAGGGCAACATTAAGCCTAATGTTCAACTTTCTTTCCTGAAAAGAGAACTCACCCAACCATCCCTTCTGGAGGAGGGTGTATGTCTCCGCCCACTGCACCCACGCCCACAGACCCCCTGGAAGGTGAAACCCTCACCACGACTGACCACTGGCTACACTGTCTTCAGACGTCTCAGCCTTTTTGTCTATTGCTGCAAAATGGATTGGGACATATAAAAGATCTTTCTATTTTTATCCAGTTCTTTTATAAGGCCCAGAGATAGAGAAATCACTTTGACCTTTTATCTAATACCTTCATTATTTCGATGTAAGGTAAAATTAGACCTCCTCCATTTGTTTGATCTTCAGATTTTGTGTGTAAACCCCTAGTGTATCAAAGGGCTGTGCTGTTGGGGCTGTCGCCAGGCCAGCGTGCCCAAGTACACAGGCAGAAGCCAACCAGAGCAGGAGGCAGCCGGCTGGGGGCCCAGGGAAATTGGTGGCAGAGCTGAGTCCTGGTCACTGGAAGAAGCTCTGCTCCAACGCCTCCTTGTAACCTTTCTGTGCCCCCATGGGTCTTTCGACTAAAACCTCAAAGTGCTTTCTTCTGCCAAAAACCTGAATTCTGAGAGTCCAGGAAACGGCATTGCAGGGCCATTCTTGCCACCTGCATTTAGAGCCCGTTCCGGGCTAAGATCTCTGTGGACTGTGCTGACTGAGGTCCTCCTATGCGGTGGGGCCTCAGGGCCCCAGTGGAGATGCTGGGGGAACAGCCTGGGAACCAATGTGTGTATGGGTATGAGCGTGAATGGGTGCACACGTGCATGCATCCACATGTGTGGGTGGTATGTGCGAGCGCACTGTGCCCACACGTGCACGTCCAAGTCTGTGAGTGTACATGGGTGAGCGCAGCTGTGTATGCATGTGTGTGGGTGTGGGTGTGTGAGCGCGCATGCGCGCGCACGCGCATGTGTGGTATAATAAATATATTGGTCTATGCTCTGGGCTCCTGGCATAGAGCTCCATAAAACCCTTGGAATTTCCTGAGTGATAGGAGTGTATTTTGTTATTCATAAGGAGCCCTTTCAATCACACCTGAGTTCTTGCTAATGAAGTGTCTCAGGGTGGGTCCCCTAGACAGCCTCAGGACTGGCCTGGTCACCAGAAAGACCAAGTGATTCAAGGCTGAAACTGTCAGCCCCACTCACCAACCTCCGGGAAGGGGTCAGCCCACTGGAGATTGAATCAAGCTCCATAAACTCTTGAACAATGAGAGCGGACGGTTTCCGGGTGATGAACACATCAAGGAGCTGAAGGGTGACACGCACTGAGAGAGCATGGAAGCTCCACACCTGCCCCCTTCCTTTCCTGTGCATCTGTTCCTCAGTTGTATCCTTTATAACAAACTGGTAAATATAACTCAAGTATGTTCCTGGGCTCTGTGAGCCATTCTAGCAAATTATTGAATCTGAGGAGGGGGTTGTGGGAACCCCCAATTTACAGCTGGTCAGTCAGAAGTACAGGGTGGCCCCCCAGGGACTTATGACTAGTGTCTGAAGTGGGGTCAGACTTGTGAGACCAAGCCCTTAACCTGTGGGAACTGACACTAACTCTGGGTAGATAGTGTCAGAACTGAATTGAATTTTTGGACACCAGTGGGTGTCAGAGAATTCGAGAATTGGTTGGTGCCAGAGAAAATACTCCAGTGTCCCCAAGCCCTCTTGTGTGGTATGTAACTGAAAAGTAACAGGTATGACAGTGTGGGAGATCAGAATTGACCATCTCAAAATATGTCTCTTTACCTTGATTATTTTCTCTGCAAGAAACTATGACCCACCCCCCCTCCCCACTAACTGCCTAAAAGAATTTAACTCTGAGTATAGATAGACTGGTAGGGTCCTTGCTAAGCCCATTCCAAGTAATAGTAGAAGCTACCCTTTGTAAGATACATTTACATTTGTAGGGGAAATCTCCATTTGTAAATGTATCTCCCTCTCTGTACCAGGAAGAAGGGGAGATGACCTTATCTCTAGAAACTCTTATCAGTGCAGAAGAAGAGGACTTAAATATGCATACTCTTGTTTACTGTGCTTTCTGGTAATCTCTCATAGCTGACTTGCCCCACCCCTAACATCCTCCTTTGTCTTTAGCTGAAGGTAGTATTTAAGGTGAGATCCTCCGCCATCTTCTTGAGATAGTCAGTTACCCAGTGGGTCTCTCCCATGTATACATGTTATAAAGCTTTGCCTGATTTTCTCCTGCTATTCAGTCTCATGTCAATTTAATTTGTAGCCCAGCCAGAAAGGACTGAGAGTGAGTAGAGGATAGTCTTTCTCCCCTTCAACAGAATGCACACACACGTGTGCACATCGGCTATGGGTATGCATGCAGCCATGTGCATGAGTATAGGTTTTTATATGTATGTCCAAACATGTGCATACAGGACAAGCACATGTGTGAATGCCCACATGCATACATATGATGTGTGTACACATGCCTCCATGTGCTATGTGATTGCGGGTGCTCACACATGAGCGTAATATACCCACATGTGCATATAGGGTGAGCACAGGTGTATATGTGCCCACACATGTGCCTATGAGATAGGCAAGTGTCTGTGTGTATATGGGGTACGCATGTGTGTGTGCACCCACCTTCATGTGTGTGACTGTATGTGTGAAAAAAGTTAAGACAGCAGGCCTCAGAATACTATCCTTTGAAAGGCCTGCTTCCAAGGTTGGCTCTTGGCTGGGGTCTAGGAACTTGAATGGTAAACAGCTCCCTACACTGCTAAGAAGAATTTTTCCTTAAATAATAAGAGCAGCTCGCTGTGTCTAGACAATTTACACAAACAATATGGTTTATACCAACACCTGCTTTCCTTTTGGGATTCCAGAATTTTGGTACGTGCTTGATGCCTACGCAACCAGCCCCCAGTAAAAACCCTGGGCACTGTGTCTCTGATGAGCTTCCCTGGCAGACAACACAATTTGATGCTGGAGGAATTAAGTGCGTCCTGTGTGACTCCATGGGGAGAGGACTCTTGAAGTGTGCTCCTGGTCTCCTCTGGACCTCTCTCCATGTGCCTCCTCCCTTGGCTGACTTTGCTTTGTGTCATTGTGCTGTAATAAATCTTAGTCAGGAGTACAACCACATGCTGAGTCCTGAATCATCCTTGTAAATCACTGACCCTGGGGGTGGTCTTGGGGACCCCCCACACCATCCCCCCACACCATGCTTGAGTGTGCTTGTGTATGTGCGAACACAGGGTAAGCACAGGTGTGCCCGTGTATGTGCACATGAGGTATTCAAGTGTGTGTGTACTCGCCCTTGTGTGTGATGTGAATGTGAGTGACTGCACGTGCACGAGTAAGTCCAAGTATTTTTATGTGCAGGTGCCTACATGTGTGCACTCTCTCACATATAGTGTGATTGTGGGCACATGGGGTATGTATGTGTATGAACCCATGTGTACACGCGGGGTGTGCGTGCATGTGCCCACATGTGTATATGGGGCTTATGTGTGGTATGAGACTGTGTGCACAAGTATGAATGTGCCTGATGGTGTGTGTGTACAGTGACCTGCATGTGCATACATGACTGTGCACACCCTTTTCTAGACCTTCCACTGTGCCCAGTATGACGGACACACTTCAACATTGCGTAGTTCAAGGGACCTCAACAATGTGTGAGTACCTGGGCCTCTGGGAAATGTAGCCTTCTCTTCCCAGTTTCCCATTTTTAAAAGGTCTGATCATTCTATTTTGCCAATCATCTGTGGGACTTTTTGGTCTGGTTAATGGGAAATGGCCCTGTGGCCCAGTGGCCAGACCCAGGCTTTGGATACAGGATGGAGAGTTTCTAGGAACAGGCAGAGGGTGTGCCTGCAGAGAGGCACACGTGAACCTGCCCCCAACTTCTTTGGCGAGGTCCTCTGTTCCAGCTGGGTGACCTTGGACTAGCTCCCCAGTATCTGAGTCTGGCTTTCCCTATTTGAATTAATCTCAATACTCCAGCCTGATCCTTCTGGCTTTGTGACAAGGTGCCAGGAGGTGGTCCCACTCCCATTCTGCCCCATCCCTGAGGCCTGTATCCCTGAACCCACTCGGCTCCCTTTCCTACCAGAGGCCATCCCCATGGAGGGCCTGGGGTAAGTGAGCACGGCCTCTATGCAGCCGGCCCTTAACTGCCCTGATTAAGCCTCCTCCCCACCTCCCTGAAACCCCACCCTTCCCTCCCCCAGGATGCCGTTAGCAAGGGCTCATTAATACCAGGGCAGGACAGGGCCAGCCACCAAGAGGCCACACGCCCTCTCCCCTCATCCCCAAACCCATCACATCCCCAACCCCACCACATCCTGAGAGATCAAGTCACCAGCCCTATCACAGCCCATTGGCACAGGGCAAGGCCAGGGCTCAGGAGCAGCTCAGGCATCACTAGCAACTGGGCTCTAGGGCCTTCTCTGTAAACACAAACACATATATACATACACACTCACTTCCTGATTTTCAGGCCCTCTTCGTTGTCTGGAAGGAAAAACTCAAAAGATTTGTATGTCTTGACCATGTCCCGGCGATACTGGCCAACGTTGAATTCTGGGAGAAAGAAGAGGCTCAGCTTTCACACGATTGCAACCCTCCCAACTCCGGACCTTGACCCACCTCCAGGCCCTGCCGCAGTCCAGCCTTCTCTCTTTTCCTCCTCCTCCCCCACAAAGCCCCAAGCCCCCTTGGAAAGCTGAGGCCAAGTCTCACCCCGTGTGGGCACACCAATCCAGTTCAGGTAGCGAGTCAGCTTTTTAGAGATGTAGGTCTTGCCCCTGGCAGGTAGGCCCACCATGACAATGAGCGTCGGGCATTTGGTCATGCAAACTGAAAGGCAAGGAACATAGCATCAGACAAGGGCTGGCACCACTCCCACTGTGTCTCTCCCTCTCTGCCCATGGTACCTCAGCCTCAGAGCACACGACTGGCATCAGATGTGTCTTCCCAGCCTCATGGCATCAGACAGCTCCCTGAGCGCCCCCAGAAGCTGGTCTCAAGCCACTGCCGGCATGCTTCCATCCCCCAGACCTGTCCGGGCTCTCACAGACACTGTGGTATCTCGCCTGCCCTTATCCTGATGTGCATCACCAGATATAAAGCTGGACCAGCCACAGCCCTGGCTAAACACTGCTGGGGAGTTCCCATGGCATGCCGGACAGAGCCAAAACCCAGTGGGGTATTCAACGCCCTGCCTGTCATCCAGGAATCCATACCCCTACCCCAATAATCACGCAGGGTCACACTGCTTACCCTCCTCATGATCAATTCCTCCTCATCATACGAAGCCCAACTCAAATGCTTCTTTAATGAGTCCTTCCTCCAGGGCACTTCCACGCCCACCTGGTACACTCTCCCCCTCAACCCCTGGCATCTCACTAATGGGTCTGCTCCTCCCAACTGATGACTTGGAGCAGAAGCAGCCCTGAGCCATTTGGGGTCTGGCACAGAGTTGGAGCTCAAAAATTATGGGCAGGAGTGGGGAGAGAGGCATCTCGAAACTCACCAGGGTGAGGGCCACAAGGGGCTGAGACCAGAGACCCAGGCCATGCCCACAAGGACAGTCCCTCTGATAGCCCACCCATTTCCATCCCATGTGCCAACCAGAGAAGTTGTTGAGGTTCTGAGAGGGAAAATGTCTAGACACAGCCCCACAGTCCCTGGCCCCCTAGGAAAGACACCAAGGCAGCAGAACTGCCAGCTCAGCTTTCAGTGTGGTCTCACCTCAGAAGCCTCAGGAAGCCTCCCTTTCATCATCCTCAGGACCTGGGCCAGGTAAAACACCCTGAAGCCCCATCACAGCAGCCAGACAGATGAACAGATGAGGGGACCTGTCACTGCCCTTCCTTCACCTGGTAGCCCTCCTTAGACAGACCACTGGTCCCTGCCCCTCAAGTTGTCCCCCTCACTAGAGCTGGAGAACAGAGGGCTCAGAGGCAGCCCAGCCTGGAGGTCAGGAGCCAGACAGGCCTGCGTTCCTATCTTGACTCTGACACTTACTGGCAACTCTGAGCCTCAGTGTCCTCACCTAAAAATGGGATGATAATCCCTCAGGAAGGTCTAGCACTATCGCCATGTAAAAGCTGGAGCACTTCCAGGAAGCTGTGCCCTCTGCCCCGCCCTGGCAGCACCCTGACTTAGGACACAGGTGCACCCCAGCACCCACTGCCCTTGGGACTTGGGGTGCAAAGGCCCCTTTCTGTCCCCAGGCAGGCCCTGCAGAGAAGTAAAGGGCTCTGCTTGCCAGTGGGAGCTCCATCACTCTTGTGCATGGCCTTTGGCAAATGTGACCCAAACTGTGAGCCCCAGGGCAGGGAGGGAGGGGACCCCATTGAATACAAACTGACAGTGAGCAAGAGGGAGGAAACTTGTAGAAAAACCTCAGCATTGGTTAAGGTGAGAGGAAAACAAGTTTGGCAAGGCCCTGTGTCCTGAGGGCCAGTGACGGCGCTGTTTGCACAATTCCTGGCTGGCTGGCCAGGGCTCTCAAGCAACCACAGTGCATCAGCTACTAACCATGGGGGAACATCTGCACCCCACCCTGCTCCCTGTGATGAGGCCACCCCTTCCCACCCCTCCCTGAAGGGCATGTCCACGACCTCAGGATTGGGGTTCCACAGCCCCTCTTCACATCTTCTACCTTCCCAGAGATGGCCCAGCCCTCCTCCCGTGGCGTTTGGTGACAGCATCGCCCCCTGCCCCACACACAGCCATGGTGGGCAGGCAGGGCGGCAAATCAGGGATAGATGCAAAATGAGAGCAATCAATTGCGTATCACCTCTGTTCCTCAAGATAAGCTGCCAAGGAAATGATTCAAAGGAAAAATCAAAGTACAAGCGTACTCATAACAGCTCTGCATACAAGAGCAAAACACTGGGCGAATCCCTGCAATGGAGAAACTGCAAACTGAGGCCCACACAGAGGGAACACACCACAGCGCCTGAGCGCGCGTGGGCCAGGGGAGCTGGGCGTGCAGCCAGAACTGCAGCTCTGGGCCCTCAAGGCCCCCAACATTGAACAACAGGACAGTAGAACACACCGTTCAGAACACTGGGCATGTGCGGAAGGAACCCTGAAGACATGTCGACTCAGCTTCCCTTGGTAGTTCCTTTTCCTGTAAATGTGTTCAAGGCCAGAGGAACCCCAGAAACGAGAGGCCTGAGACAAGCCTGGTGCTAGACAGTGACTACTTTCCGGTGGTGACACCACAGGGGCAGCCACAAGTCCCTGGAGTGGGTTCCAGAATTGACTCCTGAACTGTACCTGCTGCTCCCACTTCCTTGGGCCAGGCTGAGGAAGCAAGAGCTGTTGAAAATAAAGCAACCTGGCATCACTGTTCTGTTCAGAGGGGACAGAAAATCACCTCTCCTACTACCCTGTGCACACACCAGTTGTGTCCTTACCCTTACCTTGCCACCTTTTGGCTAAGAAAAGCCATCAGACAAACACTGTCCTTTCTGCCATGCTCCCTGAATCGCTTCTTCACCCCCTGCAGCACCTGCCCCCAGAGCTCCTCCAGGTCTGAGCTGAGGGGTCAATGATGAGGAAGGTAACTGCTGTTGTGTGGCTCTGAATTTTATCCAAAGGAGGAAGAACTGCTGATGGAGAGTGGGGGTGGAGGAGGGACATCCTTCAGCCAGCCAGCTTCTAGTGCCCTGAAGAGCTGGGGACTAGACCCAGAGACAACCCACCACACAGCACAGACCAGCCGTGGGCGCCATACCCTCTTTTCTACAAAGCCCTGGGATCAAGTCAACTTCCACCCACTCCCCACCCGCAGGTCCCTCACCTGTCCTTGTGGTCCTCCAACCTAGTCATAAACCCACTGTGCAGAGGGCAAAATGCTGCACGAATGCAGGCTCTGGGAACTGGAGGTGCTGCACAGGCAGGTTCTATCCACTCACTGCTTACTCATTCCCTGCTGTGAACTCTGGGACTCTAGCCTGGGGTCCAAACCCACACACAACGCCATCTCCTCCTCCAGGAAGCCCTCCTGTGCTGGGCCAGCCCACAGTCCCCCCACTGTAACACCCACAGACAGTGCAATGGCATGAGCCCCTCTCTGCTCAGGTCAGAGACACATTTTAATAGCATACTTGGAGCTTGGAGAAACACAGGCCCTGCCCCAGAGGCTGTGAGACCTGGGCAAGTCCCCTCCCAATTGGGCCTCAGCTCCCTTTCCACCTGTAATGGGGGTTGGCACAGAGCTGATGCTTCAATGCCTGACTTCGAGGTAGGGAGAAGCAAAGAAAGAGTGGTGATGAAATTACAAAATTACCTGCTACTACTTACGGAGCACCTACTACTTATGGAGCACCTACTCGTTAAGAGGCTCACAGCAGCTTCATGGAGCAGGGATGATGACTGTCTCCGTCCCACAGATGAGGGACCAGAGGCCTAGAGGGTCAGCTCCTTGCCCAAGGTCACACAGCTGAGCCACGAAGGATGCGGCTTGAGTGTTTCTGCCTCCAAAGTCCAAATTCTCACTCCTTCTTTATGTAACAACAGCAGCCACTCTCTAGTTAGGACAACACAGCTCTAACACAGACTGGCTAAAAGTAAAAGAGGAAGGGGCTTTGCCCTCCACACCTCCAGAAAAGTCCGAAAGGAGGGCTGGCTAGGGCGTGGCCATAGCTCCTCAGGACTGGGAGTATTGACTGGAAAGCCATGGCCCCAGGGCTGAGTGCATGATCACAGCCCCGGCACCCAACCTGGACCTACCTACATCGTGGTCAGAGCCATGACCCACCAGAACATCTGGTCAAAGCCATGGCCACCCCCTACCAGGACCCACAGTGTGGTAAGAATTACACACACCCCTCCCCCAGGATTCACATCATGGTCAAAGCCAAAGCCCCCAGGCAGGCCTCAAAGCAAGACAAGCTCCCAGCACTCTCTCCTCTTTATCACACTCAAGCAGAGGTCAGGAGTGCAGGGAGATTCTAGCAGATAACACAATCTCCTAATCTCCATTTCCATATCTGTACCAAGAGTTGGACTAGATGTTCTCTGAAGTCCTTGCCAACTTGCAAATTCACTACAATGTTTCAGTTACTCCTAAAACAAATCTTTGTTTTTCTTGGTGATAAAAAAGTTGCAGACTCATTTAAGGCAAGTAGAAAGTGAGGAAGTGGATTAAACACCCCAGATCCCAGGAAAGGTGAGCCCCTTAACAATTCCAGGAATTTCAGCATGTCTCCTAGATGTTTCACCCTCCAATTTTACCATTCACCCACAACCCCACGTGGGTTCCTACACACCCATGGACACAAACAGGCCCATATGGCACAGCGGTCTCACTGTCTCTATCCTCAACACATCCGCACTTCCCTGTAATTCCTCCCAAAACTCGGTTTTAGGCCCAGAGGCAGGTGATGAAGGTCGAAGGGCGCCCTTTCTCGTACTGGAGGACTAGCCCACCCTTGGGCCTTTGAAAGTTCTTGGCTCAGAAAAGCCAAGCGATTCCCTCAGGGCCAACACAGCTCAGACCAGGCCGGAGCCCCCGGCCCGCGCTCACTGGCCAGCAAAAGAGGGCAGGACCGCGGCTCCGAGTCCTTCCCTGGCCTGTGGGGATGGGGACAGAGTGGGGTGCGAAGGGGCCGGAGCCCTCCCCGAGGTGATGGAGGCCAGACCTAGCCCCCGCCGAGACGCCGCCACACACCTGTCCCCGCCCCCTGCTCGGCCACACCTGTCCCTGGCCCCTCACCTGTTCCTGCTCCCCTCCCACCAGTCACGGCAGCTTCACCTGTCCCCGGTTCCTCACCTGTTCCCGGCCCCCTCTCCAAGCGAGACCGCAGCCCAGGCCGCCCTACCCACTCATCCCGGTGCACCGCCCTCCCGGTTCCCCACCGACCCCGCCTCACCACCGCGCGGGCAGGCGTGCAGAGCGGGCCGCCCATTGCTGTACGGCATCCAGATCTTCTTCAGGGGGTTCTGGGTTAATTCCCGTGGGGACGCCATCCCAGGGCGGGGATGAGTTGATCTGCGCCGCTTGCTACTCGGCAGCCGAGCCACCTCGGGCCACTCGAGGCCCCGCCCCTCGGCCCCGCCCCTCGGCCCCGCCCCTCCGCAGACCCCGATGACGCAAGTCCAACTCCTTGCAGGCCCCGCCCCAGAACAAGTAGGCTCCACCCCAACTGAAGAGGGCCTGGCCTCCGACCACGCATGCCCAGCTCGCCTACGAACCGTTTGGGACCAAGCGGGCCCACCCGTCCTGCCAGGATCGCGGACGCGCATGCCCAACTCCCCACGTGTTCGAGGCCTAGATGGTGCAGGCCCCGCCCCAGATGCACCAGCCCAGCACACCCAACCGGACCGCGTGATTTGCGTAGGCCTTACCCACGGCCTCGCCCCCAGGGCGCCGCAGGTTCCGCTCCCTGCTACACGTGACCTCAGGGAAACCCTCCCCCCCGCCCCGTAGGGAGGGGTTTACATGCAATGGGGCAGGGCCTGCGTGACCCACAGGGCTTGGTTGGTCAGGACCAGCCTGGCAGCCCCTGCGTAACTAATCACTGGCCCGCTGCGTGGGCTGCCAACTCAGCTGCGCACTGTCGGCCTTGCGCTCCGACCGTCTTGTCTGCTCCGAGCTCTGGGACTCTTCCCGACCCGCAGGAGCTGGCGGCTCAATCAAAAAGGAGCTGGAAAAGCTCCTTTCTCATAGACAGGGACACAGGCCAATCTCAGAATTGATCGTGTTTCTCTCTTTGCCTTGGCTGCTGGGGAGCTTGGGCTAAACCCCCGCCCACCTGGAGCACGTGAGCAGGACCTTGTAACCAAGCTCTCTGGGGACTCACTGAGCCCTGGCAGGATCTTACTTGTCCTTCCAGGATTTCATTTTTGCCAACTAAATTTTAAATCATAAGTTTACATATTTTTTTAATGAGCCTCTGTCTCTTCATCAGGAAAATGGATTGCATGAATCATCACTCTCACAAGATTCTGGTATTCATTAAATGTGTCAATGTCTAAGTCCATTCTAAAGGACGTTAGTGTTATCATTTATTATATTATTTATCTCCCTCCTGTCTTTAAAAGTGCAGTGGAGGCAAGGGACAAGGGAGATATCCAGAAGTTCAGGAACCCCTAGAACATTCTCTCGTGTCATGTCTTCTCTCAGTCTCCTCAGCCCAGTCTCTCCAAGCTTTGTACGCTTTCTGCCCCAGAGCCCCCACTGACAGTGCTCCAACCTGGGTCACACTGCCCTCTAGCGATGTCCTCCACCACACTCCCTACAGGGTCACTGTATCCTCAAGTTCTCTCTGCCCAGTGTGTGCCCAGCCAAGTGGTAGGGGCATGGAGAACTAGGCTTGATCCAGTGCACTGCAGGTGCAGCGCTCCTTCCCTCCGACCTCCCTGCCACCCCCTGCCTTGGGTTAGTCCTCCATATCACCACTCAGCGCTTCAAAGCCCAGCAAGGACACTTAAGATGACTCTGATACAAATGTCTTGCCCACTTCCCAGGAAATGAAGGTTCAGGAGGTCCACATGCTGGAAGCCCACCTGGACCTCCCTGAAACCAGCTCTAACTGCCTACCCTGGGGAATGCCCTGCCCCAGACAGAGTCCACCACTTCCTGCTTCATCCTTCCCCTACAGTGTCCACCTCACGCCTAGCAGCTCTGAGCCCACCCGTGGGCGGCTTCTGATGAGCAGTACGCCCCTTGTGACCACCCGCCTGCTTCCTACTTCTCCAAAGCAACTCATTCTGTTCCTGACACAGCCAGCCCTCTGAGCTGCTGCCAAGGCCATTCTGGGGCCACTCTGGCCTCAGAGACCTGTCACCACACACCCACCCTGTCCAACCCCCAGCACTCATTGCAAAGGCTGTCTCCTCTAATATCCACAGATACCCAGCCCCTCCTCAGGCCTGCCCCTTCTCCTCCTCAGCCCTCCCGGGATGTGAGTCAAAGGCTGGGGGTTGGGGACAGCCAGGGCAGGGCAGGAAGCCAGGACCATCTCTCAGAAGCCATCCCCACACTCAGACAGTCTGGCTTCCCAGGAAAAGCAGTGGCTCTGCACCTCCCACTCTTCCCCAAACAGTCTGCCGCTGGGCTGACCAAGATACACCCTCCCAAGTCCCTATATCCAGTGGGAGGCCACAGGTCAACAGCAATAGAAGCCTGAGGCCCCTCCCCAAGGCCAGGGTCTACATCTGCTTGAGGATATTCCCCATCTCTCCTCCCATGGCCCCAATTCTAGAGTAGGAAGCTGAGGAAGAGGATCAGGGCCCAGAGTCAGGGCCAGCCCACAGTGCAGGATGGACTCAGATCAACTCCCAGTCCTTCAGAACCTCGCCTGCCACACCTTACACTATCACCACACTTGCCCCCTCCACATCTGCGCTCTGGCTTGTTCCCTCCATTGAAATGTTCTCCTGGCTTTCTGCTCCCTCAGCGTCAGCAGATGCCCAATAGAATAACCAGCCCTCATAGCTCTTCCCTCCTCAGGGCCATCCTGATGTGAGCCAACTATCCTGGCCCAGGGGTGGGAAGTGAGCTGGGATGTGTGTGGATGTGTCCTGCTTAGACTCTTTCCACCATGGACCTGCCTGGCTTGGCCCTGGTTGGCTCCCGTGGTGCCCTCTGCATTGACCACTGGACCTCCTCCAAGCTACAAGCTGTGGAGTGGCCAGAGTCCTCAATCCTCAGTTCTCAATGCTCAAACTCTTCCCAATCTCTGTATCTGCAAAGCCACCCTTTGCAGCATAAAGGCCCAGGGATCTCAGTGAATGTCACGCAGACCCACGTGCCAATGCATGAAAGCCTGCATGTGCACACAGCCACACGTACACACAACACTAACAAGCCCACATCCAGGCCCGTGCAGAGACAGGCAGGCTGCAGTGGGGCCTGCAGCTCTCTGCTTCCTCCCTTCTCGTTTATTCCCACCCCTATCCCTTCTGCTGCCTCTGGGAGGTTTGGGGATTTCCCAGGATTCCAGCTTCCTCTGGCTATTTCTAGCCAAGGATCATCCCCAGTGTCTCCCTGGGCCCAGAGCTCAGAGGGTGTGAGGTTCCCACTTAGCAGTATGGAGCCAAGTGACCAAGCAGCCTGTGAGCCCTGGTCTGCGCTTGCTGATTCTAGCCTGCCACGGTGCACACAGTAGGTGCTCACAGTGACTCAAGACCAGCCAGGGCACACAGTAAGGGCTCAGAGAGGTTCATGACCAGGACAGCACAAGTAGGTGCTTAGAACAGCCCAGGAGCGGCACATGGCACACAGTAGGTGCCCTAGAAATGCTAGTGTAAGGGCTGAAGCCACATCATATGAAAAACTTCCCAAATGAGCCTCTGGACACCAAACTGGTGTGACCCCTGAGAGGGGACCTGGACAAACGGGACCCCCTGGAGGCCAGAAAAAGGCAGAGCAGGAGGGCCCCGGGCAGCTCCAGCTGGCTGTCCCTCCCCCTGGGCTGGAGGAAGAAGCTATTTATAGTTCCCCCTTGGCCCAGCCCCACCCCCCACCCCCCGCAAGGCAACAGTGTTCCCCCTCCTCCATGCCACTGACAGACTGATGCCCCCTCAGAGCACCCCTATACCTGGAGAGGTCCCCAACATCCTCGCACCCCTTCCAGCACCACCGCCACTGCACCCGGGTCTTTTCCCAATCCCCGCACCCTCTCCACGCAGCCCCGTCCCTACCCCGCCTGCTGCTCCCTGACCCGGGGTCCGTGAGGGAGCTGCCTCCTTCCATGCCTCTGTCCATCCTGCCATGAACTGGCCTGGGCCACCAACTCCTACAGCTTGGAGTCTGGCGCCCCGCCCTCCGGGCTCTGGAGAGAGCAGCGGCGTGCCCTGGGGCCCCGCCTCTCCAGCCCCGCCCTGGGCCCGCCCCCCAGGGCTGCTTAACTGAGATCCACGTCAGTGCCCCCAGACCAGCAGCCAGCCTCGCGCCCGTATTGCCTCTCCAGCCAGAGCTGTCCATAGCGCCCGGTGTCTGCTCTCCTCTCCAGCTGGAGCTGTCTACACTACCCAGAGTACCTGCCCCAACTGCAGGCAAGCCTGTTCATGCTGTCCAGAAGGTCAGTCCCATCTCCAGCCCAGCAATGGGGTTGGGAGAGTGAGATAAGGCAAAACCTCCTCCTTCCACACCAAGGGACCAGGTCAGTGAAATTGGGAGAGGGGAGCAGGCAGAGGGGCAGCATGGCCAGCTATGGCTCAGCTCTCGTGTGTCACTGCCGGGTGCGATTCTCATCCATCCCATTCTCCAGTCACTACATTTATTGAGCCCTTCCTGCATGCCAGAACCTTCATGCACACCATGTCACTCAGTGCTCACAAGAATCTTGGTGGCATCACTCTGCTTTACAGATGAGGAAACCGAGGCTTGGAAATGTGAGCATCTTTGCTCAGCACCATTTGGTGAGGAGGGGCAGAGTTGGGCCGAAGCCCCGGCAGCCTGAGCCCCCTCTCCCCTGAGTCGTATGTGTCCCAGGGCCAAGGCTGGGTGTGCAGGGATGTGGATAGGACAGTGCCTGGCTATGTGTTGAGCAGGTTTGGAGGACAAGCACCTGTTCCTCCCAGCCCCTCACACACATTCACAGCTGTCAGATACAGAGGGACACAGTCACACATGCACACACACACACCCCTCCCCACAAGGCAAGGCTGCCACAGCCAGACTTCCCCCGTACAGCCATCCGTGCCTAGAGATGCCCCCGATGGCCTCATCCATCTGGGGTGGGTGCTGCCTCATGGAGCACAAAACATGCATGTGACCCTCAGCCAGCACTTCCCTATGTGGTGACCTGTGGGGGCAGGGCAGACCTGCAGGTCTGGTCTTAGGTGGACTGGTTTCAGATGAAGAAATGGGCTCCTGTGTTGAGGTTCCTGAAAGTGGCATGACAGTGACCACATGTGGTGGTGTCCAGAGGCTCTGTGACTGTGGGGCACCCAGACATGGCAAGACTCCACGAGGTAGTGACCTTCCACAGTAGTGTCCAAGCTGTCCAGACATACTGTAAGTCTGTGGAGCTCCCAGGTGTGGCAAGACTTCACTTGGCAGCAACCTGACATGGCAATGTCCAGGCTGTCCAAAAACACTGTGACTCTGTGAGGCACTCAGATATGATATGACACCACATGCCAGTGACCCATACGGCAATGTCCATACGGCAATGTCCAGATGCACTGTGCCCAGATGCAGTACCCTCCAGCTCTGCTGCTGCTCTCCAGGTCTCCCCATCCAGGGTGGCCCCATCATTGTAACCCCCTCCCTCAGGCTCAGTGGCAGCCAATGTGGGTCAGGATGTGAGCATTGGAGGCAGCCCACTCCCTCGCAGCCCTGGCCTGGGCCTGCTCCAGTAAGATCTGCAGGAGGCCAATGGGGACATCCAGCGAGAGGGCGATGCGTGAGCCAGGGCAGGGCCCAGGGCTGGGGTGGCCCCAAGCAGCAGAGGAGCCTGTGGTGCTGGCTGAGTGGCCCTCCAAGGCCACAGGGCGGGGAGTGGTCTGGGGAAAGTTCTGAGGGATGAGCTGGAAGGCTAGGATAGGGGTCGCTGGGACAAGCAGGGCTCTCCCCAGTGTCAGGACTCTCAGCACCAGCAGAGCCCACCTGGTCATCGCGTGGTCAGGCTGTGAGGGGAAAACAGGCTCAGGGTGGGGGCTCTGGTCAGCTATGGCTCATGGACAGAGACAGATGGGGTAAGCAGAGAGACAGAGAAGGAGACGGAGAGGTAGAGATTAGAGAGGCCAGGCCAGGGACAGAGAGAGGCAGACAGAGAAGAAGGGACAAGAAGAGAACCAGAGTGAGACAGAGAAAATCAAGACAGAGCCAGACATGATGTACACCTGAAATTTATACAATGTTATAAACAAATGTTACTGCAATAAACAAAAAATTATAAATAAATAAAAATAAAAAAAAAAAATAAAAAAAGACAGAGCCAGACAGAGAAAGGGTCAGAGAGACAGAAAGAGTGAGAAAGAGAATGAGAGGGACAGAGATAGACAAAGAGACAAAGAAACCAGAGACAGAGAGCCACAGATATATCTAGATATGGATATATCTTTATATATGGAGAGAGAGAAGAAGAAAGAGGAAGAGAAGAAGAAGAGGAGGAAAAAGAAGAAGAGGAAGAGGAGTGGGAGGAAGAAGGAGGTGGAGGAAGGAGAAGGTGGAGGAAGGAGGAGGAGGAAGAAGGAGGAGGAGGAGGGAGGAGGAG